GTTCATTGCTATTGCTCATGATAACAAAAACAAACAGCATCAGTGACATATGGGCGATGAGCATTGTATTATATGTCTCCATGTCACTATTGTAGTGCTTTCAGTTTGCACTTTGCACCCGACATTTGTTTACCCACTCTAGTGGTCCTATTTGCTCTTTCCACTAAAATACGGGTCAATTTCATAATTTTCTGAAACTGTTCCTTACATCATCCAAGTGTCCTCGATATTTCAACCATGGATATTTCCGCCACTTATCTTTCAACCGAAGGTACGTTCAAATTTGAGTCGTAATGTGAACGCTGCTTATGTATTTCAAGTCACATTTTTATCTAAAATTAAATCAGTCAAAACTCAAAAGTAGTTTAACTTTCTTTTTTTTTTTTAAAACCGTGAAGTAATCCGAGATTTTACCACCGGACTAATCCCTTTAAAATGAATATAGTCGTCGAGGAGTCTACTGACCAGATTTTATAATAGGCCTAAAGCATGTTACTATTTCGACTGACCAAATAAAAATAGTTAGATAATATCGTGTTTGAGAATAATTGAATTCTAACCTAGATCCACATAGCAACTTTTTCTAAGTGGAAATTACTAATCCACCACCACTTGGTTAAGTAGTTTAATTCTACTGGTCTACCTGCAAATTAATTGAATAAATGATCTCAAGTATGGCTAAAACCACTTGGAAATTCATTTTTGTTTTTCGCATTTACGTTTTGATGTTAATTAAATATTTGAGTTTATGTTTTTTAACTATAAGATTGTGGTGTTTTTATTAAATAATTTGTCAAAATTATATACATAGAACATGAGAAAAATTGCATTTGCTTCCGTAATAATACATAAGCGGTGAAGTGTTTTGTATGCATTATTATAATATTATTACAATATTTTTTTATCAAATAGATATATTATACGAAACAGAGTTTTAATAAAAACAGAGGTAAGAGGGGAATCGAAAACAATCATGAGACTTAAGAGAAGCAGAGGGTAGAATAAAGCCGAAGCTAGCTTTCTAATGTCTGCGTCCATTAGGGTTCGAAGCCAAGCGGGAGGACTCAAAGCGATATATGATTGATGCCGATTCCCATGAGATGCACTATGTGCAATCTTAAAAGCAATCAAATTTGCCTCCCTAGATTCGGAAACAAACTTCCAATTGGGCACAGGACGAAGCATCTGAAGAAGCTTTGTTGAATGAAACAAGAAGGATGGCCAAGCTTTGGGCCTGGAGATCGCATTGACCAATTCCGTCCCTGTTGAAGCGAAAATCACTCGTCTATAGCCGAGAGAGGAAATACTCTCAATTGCCTAGCTTATGGCTAATAAGAAGGCTTCAAGTTTAGACGGGACCGAAGCAAAAGACCTGCGGACATGAAGTAATATCTCCCCTGATGAATGACGAGTCGTCCAAGCTGCTCCACATTCAAGAGAAGTTTTATTCCAAGAAAACCCGATATTATATTTTATCCAAAAATTTTGAGGAGGTTGCCATAGCTTAAGATTTGATATCAAATCCTCAGGTTGGGATGCATGAATGTGTTGCTCAATCTCTTGGGCCATAAACCACCGATTTGAGTCATGGAAGGCTTTGTTGACTATTACAATATATGTTGTACTATATGTTAAATCGTCCACCGTATATAACTATTTATGAAATATGTATGTAGCGGATTTATCTTTCTGTGAAACTATCCGTTGTTCACAGTGGTCTTAAAATTATATACAGAGTTAGATATGTTGGTTATAAATTTTCATATAACTAATTAACTTTATATAAATATTACTAAGGTCCGATCGGAAATCAACGAAATTATTGATAGAAGATGTATAACTTTTAGAATGTAGATACCCAAGTTATCGCAATGTCATTAAGGACTAGTCTGAAATACTAACTCTAGATCTAGAATATACAAAAATAGTTGCGATTACTAAATTTGACAACTCAACAAATAATTGCGAATACAAGTACCAGATTTGTACACATACATTACATTCTCATACCAAAATAGTTTATATTATTCGTAAGATGAATACGGTGACGTGGCAGAATAGGAACCACTGTAACAGGCCACAGAGCTCTTGAATCAGCAGATAAAGCGGGGTGGCCGACAAGTCGACAATCCAATTTATGTGGACATCAACTCATCGGCTTTCTCCATCCTCCACGTGTCCTCTTATCCTTATCAACCGCCCAGATTATTCACAAGCCAAAATATCTTGGCCCACTATACTTTAGGTTAAAATTTGTTATGCAACGAAAATAAAACAGTTTCAAATCCGTATAATCAAAATTTCTTTGTTCAATATTGATGTGTTGATTTAGATTTGACTTGGATGGATGAATTAATTATAAACTCAGCGATAGATATCTTATTAGGGAAATGAAAAAGATTGATATATATATGTGTACGTAGTAACGTTTTGAACGAAAACTTTTAATGAAACTGTTATTACACTATGACAATTGTTTAGAAACCACTATTCAACGTTGAAATATTTGTACATTTGAAAACGAAACGAACGTTTAAACCAATATAATAATTGTTCAGAGATGGTTTAGATTATTATGGCTATTTCACTGTTGAAACCTTAACACACACAACAAATGTTTAATCATAAATTAGACGTTATCTTAGTTTAGCAAAAAAAAAAAAAGACGTTATCTGTCTTGTATTAGAAGCAACTGGTTGGATTTTACCTTTTGACGTTGTCTCCATGAAATTCCCAATACAAAAGACTCTGAAAACAATGCATGCAAGTGATTGATTCATCAAAAGCTCTACTTTTAACTTTCAAATTCCAAAAGAAGCTTCTCGCGAAATAACCTATTTATGTTTTGTTTCAATTTTACACGCAAAGTATAATTCGATTCTTGTTTAACTAAATTATTACTTATACTATATACATCAGAAATGATTATAGCATGTTCAAGCAACGTAGTTCAGTGAATATAAATATATCGTGGACTATGTTTCGGACTCAGTACGAGGATAATATATTGTGATTAGATATAATTTGTGTTAAATCATAATGTAAAACCAATAACGTCATTATACTCGTTAGAAGATATTAAACTAGTGCATTAACATCTTTTTTCAACAAAAAAAAAACATATTTTTCAACAATTGCATTAACGTTTTGATGTTACAAGAATCAATCATTGGACCATTGGTGC